ACTCAAATAAAAGCAGATTTTTTCTCTAAAAGAAAGTTTCCTTCTTTTAAGGTTCTTTTGTGAAAAAAGGCAAGGCTATAGCCTTAGAGAAATGACCCTTTTGACCCGTAAAAGTCTTCACTCAAATAAAAGCAGACTTTTTCTCTAAAAGAAAGTTTTCTTCTTTTAAGGTCTTTTGTGAAAAAAGGCAAGGCTATAGCCTTAGAGAAATGACCCTTTTTGACCCGTAAAAGTCTTCACTGAAATAAAAGCAGACTTTTTCTTAAAAGAAGTTTCCTCCTTTTAAGGTCTTTTGTGAAAAAAGGCAAGGCTATAGCCTTAGAGAAATGACCCTTTTTGACCCGTAAAAGTCTCCACTCAAATAAAAGCAGATTTTTTCCCTAAAAGAAAGTTTCCTTCTTTTAAGGTCTTTTGTGAAAAAAGGCAAGGCTATAGCCTTAGAGAAATGACCCTTTTTGACCCGTAAAAGTCTTCACTGAAATAAAAGGCAACTTTCTTTCTACTTTCCTTTTTTAAGGTCTTTTGTGAAAAAAGGCAAGGCTATAGCCTTAGAGAAATGACCCTTTTTGACCCGTAAAAGTCTTCACTGAAATAAAAGCAGATTTTTTCCCTAAAAGAAAGTTTTCTTCTTTTAAGGTCTTTTGTGAAAAAAGGCAAGGCTATAGCCTTAGAGAAATGACCCTTTTTGACCCGTAAAAGTCTCCACTCAAATAAAAGCAGATTTTTTCCCTAAAAGAAAGTTTCCTTCTTTTAAGGTCTTTTGTGAAAAAAGGCAAGCCTATAGCCTTAGAGAAATGACCCTTTTTGACCCGTAAAAGTCTCCACTCAAATAAAAGCAGACTTTTTCTCTAAAAAAAAGTTTCCTTCTTTTAAGGTCTTTTGTAAAAGAAGGCAAGGCTATAGCCTTAGAGAAATGACCCTTTTTGACCCGTAAAAGTCTTCACTCAATTAAAAGCAGACTTTTTCTTTAAAAAAAAGTTTCCTTATTTTAAAGTCTTTTGTAAAAAAAGGCAAGCCTATAGCCTTAGAGAAATGACCCTTTTTGACAAATAAAAGTCTTCACTGAAATAAAAGCAAAGTTATTCTCTAAAAGAAAGTTTCTTTCTTTTAAAGTCTTTTGTGAAAAAAGGCAAGGCTATAGCCTTAGAGAAATGACCCTTTTTGACCCATAAAAGTCTTCACTGAAATAAAAGCAAAGTTATTCTCTAAAAGAAAATTTCTTTCTTTTAAAGTCTTTTGTGAAAAAAGGCAAGGCTATAGCCTTAGAGAAATGACCCTTTTTGATCCGTAAAAGTCTTCACTGAAATAAAAGCAAAGTTATTCTCTAAAAGAAAGTTTCCTTCTTTTAAAGTTTTTTGTGAAAAAAGGCAAGGCTATAGCCTTAGAGAAATGAAACTTTTTGACCCGTAAAAGTCTTCACTGAAATAAAAGCAAAGTTATTCTCTAAAAGAAAGTTTCCTTCTTTTAATGTCTTTTGTAAAAGAAGGCAAGGCTATAGCCTTAGAGAAATGACCCTTTTTGACCCGTAAAAGTCTTCACTCAAATAAAAGCAGACTTTTTCTTTAAAAAAAAGTTTCCTTCTTTTAAAGACTTTTGTGAAAAAAGGCAAGCCTATAGCCTTAGAGAAATGAAACTTTTTGACCCGTAAAAGTCTTCACTGAAATAAAAGCAAAGTTATTCTCTAAAAGAAAGTTTCCTTCTTTTAATGTCTTTTGTGAAAAAAGGCAAGGCCTTAGAGAAATGACCCTTTTTGACCCGTAAAAGTCTTCACTCAAATAAAAGCAGACTTTTTCTCTAAAAAAAAGTTTCCTTCTTTTAAGGTCTTTTGTAAAAGAAGGCAAGGCTATAGCCTTAGAGAAATGACCCTTTTTGACCCATAAAAGTCTTCACTCAAATAAAAGCAGACTTTTTCTTTAAAAAAAAGTTTCCTTATTTTAAAGTCTTTTGTAAAAAAAGGCAAGCCTATAGCCTTAGAGAAATGACCCTTTTTGACAAATAAAAGTCTTCACTGAAATAAAAGCAAAGTTATTCTCTAAAAGAAAGTTTCTTTCTTTTAAAGTCTTTTGTGAAAAAAGGCAAGGCTATAGCCTTAGAGAAATGACCCTTTTTGACCCATAAAAGTCTTCACTGAAATAAAAGCAAAGTTATTCTCTAAAAGAAAGTTTCTTTCTTTTAAAGTCTTTTGTGAAAAAAGGCAAGGCTATAGCCTTAGAGAAATGACCCTTTTTGACCCATAAAAGTCTTCACTGAAATAAAAGCAAAGTTATTCTCTAAAAGAAAGTTTCTTTCTTTTAAAGTCTTTTGTGAAAAAAGGCAAGGCTATAGCCTTAGAGAAATGACCCTTTTTGACCCGTAAAAGTCTTCACTGAAAAAAAAGCAAAGTTATTCTCTAAAAGAAGGTTTCCTTCTTTTAAAGTCTTTTATGAAAAAAGGCAAGGCTATAGCCTTAGAGAAATGACCCTTTTTGATCCGTAAAAGTCTTCACTGAAATAAAAGCAAAGTTATTCTCTAAAAGAAAGTTTCCTTCTTTTAAAGTTTTTTGTGAAAAAAGGCAAGGCTATAGCCTTAGAGAAATGAAACTTTTTGACCCGTAAAAGTCTTCACTGAAATAAAAGCAAAGTTATTCTCTAAAAGAAAGTTTCCTTCTTTTAATGTCTTTTGTGAAAAAAGGCAAGGCCTTAGAGAAATGACCCTTTTTGACCCGTAAAAGTCTTCACTCAAATAAAAGCAGACTTTTTCTCTAAAAAAAAGTTTCCTTCTTTTAAGGTCTTTTGTAAAAGAAGGCAAGGCTATAGCCTTAGAGAAATGACCCTTTTTGACCCGTAAAAGTCTTCACTCAAATAAAAGCAGACTTTTTCTTTAAAAAAAAGTTTCCTTATTTTAAAGTCTTTTGTAAAAAAAGGCAAGGCTATAGCCTTAGAGAAATGACCCTTTTTGACCCGTAAAAGTCTTCACTGAAAAAAAAGCAAAGTTATTCTCTAAAAGAAGGTTTCCTTCTTTTAAAGTCTTTTATGAAAAAAGGCAAGGCTATAGCCTTAGAGAAATGACCCTTTTTGATCCGTAAAAGTCTTCACTGAAATAAAAGCAAAGTTATTCTCTAAAAGAAAGTTTCCTTCTTTTAAAGTTTTTTGTGAAAAAAGGCAAGGCTATAGCCTTAGAGAAATGAAACTTTTTGACCCGTAAAAGTCTTCACTGAAATAAAAGCAAAGTTATTCTCTAAAAGAAAGTTTCCTTCTTTTAATGTCTTTTGTGAAAAAAGGCAAGGCCTTAGAGAAATGACCCTTTTTGACCCGTAAAAGTCTTCACTCAAATAAAAGCAGACTTTTTCTCTAAAAAAAAGTTTCCTTCTTTTAAGGTCTTTTGTAAAAGAAGGCAAGGCTATAGCCTTAGAGAAATGACCCTTTTTGACCCGTAAAAGTCTTCACTCAAATAAAAGCAGACTTTTTCTTTAAAAAAAAGTTTCCTTATTTTAAAGTCTTTTGTAAAAAAAGGCAAGCCTATAGCCTTAGAGAAATGACCCTTTTTGACAAATAAAAGTCTTCACTGAAATAAAAGCAAAGTTATTCTCTAAAAGAAAGTTTCTTTCTTTTAAAGTCTTTTGTGAAAAAAGGCAAGGCTATAGCCTTAGAGAAATGACCCTTTTTGACCCATAAAAGTCTTCACTGAAATAAAAGCAGACTTTTTCTTTAAAAGAAAGTTTCCTTCATTTAAAGTCTTTTTGAAAAAGGCAAGGCTATAGCCTTGCATAAATGACCGCTTTAAGACCTTCATTTTTTCAAATCTTGCTGTGCTCTATTTTATATCAACACCAAGAAAGGTTTTAATGAAGGCTTTTCTCCAAGAAATTGAGATTTTTTCTCTAAAAGAAGGATATTTTCTGTTAAGGCTTTTTGTGAAAAAGACAAGGCTATAGTCTTACAAATATGACCAATATTTGACATTTAATATTTTATTCTCTCATTCTGCTGTACTCTTTTTTATATCAACAACAAAAAGTGTTGAATCATGTTTTTTCTCAAAGCAAAGCAGGTTTTTTGTCTTAAAGAAACTTTCTTTCTGTTAAGGTTTTCAGTAAAAAAAGGCAAGGCTATTGCCTTACATAAATGACTAATTTTTTGCCAGTCAATGTTTTTCCTAATTTTTTCTGTTCTCTATTCTTTATTGAAAATAAATGGTTTTGAATCAAGTCTTGACTCCAATGAAAACAGAATAAGGCTCTTAACGAGAATGTTTTTATGTTAAAGTTTTTTCTGTAAAAAGAGGCAAGACTATAGCCTTACAAAAATCACCAATTTCGGACCGATAAATTTTTTTACCAAAAAGTGTCATTGGCTATTCTGCATGAATAAGCAACGCGGGAATTCGCTTTCGTTCAATTCGATGCTTGAATGATAATATAGTAAGCAAAAAAAATGAGTACCAGAATGAAAAGATAATAGTTTGGTTGTTAGAAACACGACGTTTCGAGCATGTACTCGTTGTCAAGTGGCTAAAAAAGAAACGAGCAGAGCAAAGAGAAGGCGAGACTTGATAAATAGAAAAGAATGCGAGATGCGATGCAACCGAAAAAATTAGAGGAATGGGAGAAAAGTAGAGGAATGGGAGAAAAGTAAGAAAAGAGTAGGAAATAGATATTATTGAAGGAAATTAAAATGTTCATTTAGACTACTATTAGGATAAAGAGTTTTTAGGCTAAAATTTAAACGTTCTCCAAATTCTTCCGTTTGGTGGCATCTTGTGGTGCATACAATAAGCCAAGGATGGATATGTCGGCAGTAGAATTATTGGAGGAGTTGAAATGTTGAGATATGTTGCTATCTGCATCGCTTTGGTGTTTTTCTGTCAGATGGATTTTGTTAGCATAATTTCTCAAGTGTTCTCCAAAACGGTTGTTAATTTGACGGGAGGTTTTGCTGATATAAAGAGATTGGCATTTGGTGCAGATGATGCAGTAAATCACACAGGGAGAAGAACAGGTAAAGTGATGTGGAAGGATTGGTTATGGTTGATGATAAAGCCAAACATCACAACAGCCTGGTACTATCCCCTGCCAACATCACCTCTGCCGTACTTGCACACACATGAACACACATTAATTTTTAACTTAAAAATCCTTTTTCCTAATGGTCTTAATAAACATTTCAATTTCCTTCAATATTTAATTTCCTTCAGCTAGGGGTGCTTTTGAGAAAGTTGTAAACAAACCAGGCAAAATTGGCAAGCTCTGATTGGCTAAAAGAAAATTGTAAACAAAGCATCTAATTGGACGAAAACGAATTTCCGCCTTGCTACATCAAAGACAAAAGGATTTTATTCAAGACTTGTCTCCAATGAAAGGACATTCACGCTCTAAAAGATACGTTTTCTATCAAGGTCTCTATCAAAAACGTCAAGGCTTGCAAAAATCACCTATTTTGACCCGTAAATAGTTTTGGGCTTTTAAAGACAATACTTTTAGTTAATTTTTCCGGTGAAAAGCAAGATAATAGGGTTTTCAGTTTAATATACTTTAGTGCCGCGATTTGTTTTCTGTAAAACCTGCTATCAATTATTTATATTCGTGATAGGAACTTTTCATGCTAGTGAGGCTGCAGGATATTTTTTAAGAAAGCGTCCTATCCAATCCATTATTCAAACAATAGGCAGAAAGGTTACTGGCCTAAGAGAAATGAAGCTCCGTACACATTAAGATTTATTTCTAGAACCCATGCCTACTTTGAAATATGTTAGTTAACTTTTTTAGCGGCTGTATAATTTAGGATACTGGTTGCATGACCTTGGCTTAATATTGGTTGTTGAGTTTATGTCATTTCCGTTCTTTATTGCATTTTGCCATAAGTTTGCCAAGTAACGAGAAATGAATTAGTGCACCTCAACTTGAGGTACAATTTTCTTTTCTATGTGGTGATGCTGTTTGGAACCCAACCAGGAACGATGAATGGGTATGTGGCTTGTCCCCTTTTCAACCTTCGCTCATTTCTTCTATCAAGCAGTGGTTTTACTTTCTCCATTAGTTCCCTGTAAGTCCTTGCTACTAGTCTTTTCATTGGTTCGTCTCTCAGCTCTTCACCATAATCAAACAGACTGTCGTAATGGACAGTTCCAATGCTTGCAGCCAGCCTTGATTGGATCTATGTCAGAAAAAAGACGTATTTATGTCGCTTCTTGCTTTGTGTTCATTATCTTGCACTTTTAAGAATCACTTTACTATATTTTAGAATATATCATGTGCTCTGATAAACACTCCTTTGATTGCATTGTCTGAAACTGAGATTCTTAAATCAAGTGGCTGAGGAAAGCAGTTCTACCATGCCTGCTAAAAGTACTTGGAACACCCAGCATACATTTGATATCTTTCATTCCTTTCATGAAAAAAAATTGCTACTTCCGCCCCCTTCCCCCTAAAACAATGTTGATGATTTAGAAAAATTTCATAAAAGAAGCGCAAAAGAAAGTGCTCCCCAAAATCCTAACCCGTTTGATAGTAAACCAACATTATTCTATAGGGGAGAGGGGGATGATTGATTTTGACCTTGGAAAGTGATGTCAGTGTTCCAAAACTTTTGGCAGGCATTGTAGCAGCTAAAGAGAGCCAATCGAGGCGCGTACTCCCCGCTGAATCGTATTGATAGTGTGATTAAAGTAGTTGAAGTGTCATCTCGACAGTATAAGATCTTAATTGAGTAAAGTGTATGGTTAAAAAGGAATGCCATGCCAGGTATATAAAAAAGACGGAAGAGGGCTTACAATAGCTGCCTGAGGACCTGAGAGCATATAGGCAAGATTCTTTTCCTTGTATCCTCTAGAATCTGCATAAAGTTTAGATGGAGATAGAGCCATTGTCGATTCAAAAACGAGCGGTGGATAGGTCATCAAAGCATGATGAACTTGAATCCAGAGTACTTCTGAAAGAAACTTTGCAACTTGAAACTTCGTTGTAAAATGTGAAGGTAGACCTTTAACCTGCAAAATAAAATTTAAACTCCGTCTTAGAAAAAAAAAGATTTGATACTGAGAAAGCATTGAGAAATCTATAACAGTATCTAAACATCTCACCCTTCCGGTTCCATTGTTTGGCGGCCTCCTTCCGTTAATAGAAAGCTCGTTTATAAAGCTTTGAAGCTCGCTGTCCTGTTGAACGTCTTCATCAGCACCGTAATATCTGCAAAAAAAATTCATGTAAGAAGTATGGTTGAATATGTTGTAAGCATCATCTTGAGATTGTTTTAAAAAAGTGTTGAGGAATTGTATTTGAATTAGGAGATATCATGATTAAAATCAATTTTAAGACATTAATCGCTGAAAGCCCTGTCAACATGCTATGACGACAAGGCAAATGAGAGTAGATAAGCTTGATACAAGGCTTACATATCAACAAAAGACCTTGCAAACTTCTTTATTACTCGATCGACGACGATGCCATCATCGCGGTACGGATAAAAAGGAACTTTCTTTTTGTCGTTCATCCCACGTTCCTAAAAAAGAATATTTGATTGCAAAATGGTTTAAAAAACGTGCCATTAAAATTATTTTGAAAAAAATCAAGGTTGCACAAAGGTAAGGGCAGAAATCTGGGCAGGACTGCTTGACTGCAAATTAAAGCTTTATAATTGTCCTGCAAATAGCAAAGAATAAAGTCCTTGACGGTTTTTCTAACAATCTTTCGTTGATTGCGTCATCCAAGATAGATTGTAAAGAACCTAAGTTGCATAGAATCTTCATCTTTCTAATTAATCTTCTCTTTAATATCCGTAAGTTTTTACTTCCAATGTTTTGAAGTTGTTGATATTTCGAAGTTACTGAGAAAGAAGACTTTAATATCACCATCAGATCTCAGAAGTTGTTTGCTATTTCCAGTTAGAGTCTGTTTCTCACGTCAAAGGGGCACATTATAACAAAAAGGGGGTATAAAAGTAACTGCATCAATAGACGCTTGACTAATTTTTACCTCAATATTGTTTTCCAGACCAATGTCATTCCATACCATCTTCTCATATCCTCTTTGCATCAATTTCAAACTACCATCGTGTCCATATCCGAATAGCTGGTTCAGGAAACCCCCTGGGCTATTAAGTGCCTTTAAACCATTTGCATTTACCGCGACTAGTCCTCTACAGTGGTATTTCAGTAGCTCGTGCAGGGGATGGAACTTGGATAGCTGCCGTTTCAAAACAACACAAATTGGTTCCATACGAAAGTGAGTGCGCAGTAAATGCTCGTGAACTTGTGTGTAATACATACTGGAGACTTGAAAAATCGCTTTTGCAACTTGCCAATGAAATCCATCGCATGGAGCATACACTTTTGCCGCTAGTTTTATAGGAAAAATGATTGGATTAATTTAACCGTATCCAGACTAGGGGGGGGACACAAAGTGCCCCCCTAGTTGGTTTTTCTTACATAACTTCAGGAGTTTCAAAGCAATACCCCTCATACCTCCTGACTTTTAGTTTTAACCTGTCTGACACATGTTCATAGTTAATCTGCCACGGATTCGCAACAAAAGTAGATTTATTGATGAAAATTAGTATCTAGGCATTAATTTGTGCTCTCTTCATGATTCTGACCAGAAAATATAAATTCAACATTCTTTTCTATGACTTTTATGCTGCGCATGCGCACACATTTTTTGACATTTTTATAGGTTTTACATTAATAAAACTGCAAGTTTTGATTAATTTGTCTGCTAAGGCATTAAAAATGAACTTAAACATGACATTTGGTTGTATCGATCATTTAGTTATATAGAAAGAATTATACCCAAATACAAAATATGTTGAGTTCTTGTGTTGGAACGTTAATAATTTTGAGAAGTAACATTAAAATTGTGTCATTCTTCTTGTTTCTATTAGAAGATGCATTAAATTTACTTATTTTAAAATCTTAGCCCGATGCTTTGGAATTTATGAATATTTTAAGATTTTCTAAAATTTTCTAAATTTTTGCGCCACCCGGCCACCATTATGATGACGTCATCGTTAAACCACGTGACTTAAAAATTGAACATTAGTACTAAAATGTGGAGAATAGATATGAGTACCATCCAAACAAAGTTCATTGTCCTAGCTAAATTACGGAGGGGGGGGGGCACTTAGTCTCCCGAAAGTTTCAAAAAGCCTAGTCTGGATAGGGTTAAGTCATGATAAAAATACTACGCCGTGAAAATCGCAGTTCAGAAAGTAAAAGCTTTTGCATAGCCCAACTTCATAATGCAAATTTATTGTACATCAAAGCGTTTAGAATTTTGCACCTGCGGAGGAAACGCATTTCGCTCAAAACATTCAACAATATTGGTACCAAGATATCTTCGGCATCGTCAAGTTAATACCTAATGCTGCATGATAGGTTGAAGCAGTAGGCAGCTCTTTCAGTATGACTAGATTTAGGCGGTTAAAAGTTTTCTATCACATACCTTGTGTGTCATCTATCTGAATTGCGACAGGTTTCAGCTCGTATTTCCTTTTCTTTGGATTATACCGACTTGCAAATATTGCGATGGGGTTGGTTTGGGGGATCATCTTGACACCAGGTGGATATTTTCTAGGCAATATGTTGGGGAGGTTCTTTAATCCAGTAAGCAATGGAAATTCTGCAACATACACCATTCTTCCAATGATTGACTAACAAGAAACAGTGTAATTCATTTAGATTCTAATAATCTTGAAAATTAAAAGTTACAAACAGTGTTTGATAATAGATACTAGGCTTATGAAAAAAGGCCTTAGCTTTTCTAAATTATTTCGTATTCTGAAAACTTCTGAATTATTTCGTAGAATGCAAAATCAAAAATATTTGATATTTGAAATGTAAGAAACAACAAGAAGAAAAAAGGAGGAGACACAATTTGTAAATCCCTTTTTTAGATATAGGTTATATTAGTACCTGCCAACAGCCTCTTTTTGTAACAGAGTGAATCGCTTTACCCCAGTTGAACTTTGGATTCAATCTTTGTTTTAGGACATTCCAATTAGTACCAATTTTGCCTATTACCGAATTCAAAAAAGATTAAAAAAGATTATGTTAGATAGTGGCAGCAGAAGAAATCAATGTAAATTAAAAAAACTCCCAGTACTGGGAATTTCTCAGTTTCTTAATCAACGTTAATTACCAACAACGTAAAAGTCTCCCGGTTTGGTCCAAGGGTTATATAAAGCAGCTTCCAGGCAGGGACAAATATGTGAGTATAACTATGGCAAAGCAGATGTACACTGCAGGGATACCAGGACACATTTTGGAGTGGAGAAGGGAGCTATAGACAGGTTGGCAAATAATTATGCTAGCTCGTCACCATTACAATGTTTTGGGGTACAGAACAGGAAGGTTATAGAATGCAACTACAACGCTTCAAGCTAAATGAGATCATTGTGATCATCAAGCAATTGTACAAGGAATATAAAAATCTTATTGCACTTCAATGCAAGCTTAAGGCGCAATGTTTGGCGCCAAAAAGTGTCGTTTGCAGTGTATATTGTCAAAATTGAATAACGATAGGGGACAAAAATTTTAAAATGGTTTTTAAAGCCCTGTAGACTATAAAATCGAGCCTTGGTTGAACCGGGGTAGAAAGAATCTAAGTTAGATTTTTGCAGTGTAAATGCAACGTTGCAAAGGTTGAACCCAAGCTCATGCAACCAATATACGAAGCGCAAAACGGGGTTGAATCTGGGTAATTTTTCATCTGCGGATGGGGATTAAGGTCGTGAATTGAAAAAGGCGCCAGTATTTGGCCTCTTTTTATCAATTGGTTGAATAGCATTACCATAATTTTTAAGAAATGAACAGTTGTAGAATATTTTTGCGAAATATAAAGAAACTGCAGCTGCTGTTCGCGGAAATGGAATATTACAAGTTATTGCGATTTTTTAACAGTAAATGCTGTCACGACAAATGTGCAAAACCTATCCAGTTTCAACCCACTTTCCGTTTAGAATACAAATTTAACAGAGTTTACTCTGGGTGAACTCAACCTCGGTTGAACCCAGGTAGCTATTTGTAGTGTAAACCGGGCTTTAAAAACTTCTAGTGATGGCAGAAAATGAAGAAAAGCACAAACAAGGAGCGAAGAGAAAACAGAGAAAATGAATAAAGCGACGGGAAGGGAAGGGTTCCTTATTAAACTGATGATCAGGGCAAACTCCACTGATCCTACACTGGAGGGGTAATTAGTGTAAAGAAAGTTTCCTCTCGCCCTCTCAAGCCCTAACTTCAACAGACATTTCGCTGACGCTATTTTACTGGTGGATTTTGGTTGAATGTATTTGTTGTAATCTTAAAGCAGATCAAAATAAATAATTTGAGTTGATTTTAATCTTCACTTTATTGAAAGATTGGGAAAGCCATGCCTCCCTGCGCCCCATATTTTTTTCCCTGATAAAGGAGTTGAGATGCATGGAGATGGGGAAGCTTTTTTATCTATAAAGCTACAAGACTTGCACAAAAAAATTAATTTGTGGGAAAAAGATTAAACTTTAATTAACGTTGCAAAACATTTTTGACCAGAACCAGAATTTTCTCAACAACAACACTTAGAAAAGAACATTTAGACTTAATCATTCACAAACATTCACTAAAAATTTAAGAATAAACAGTTCACTTAGCAAAATTTGAGTAAAATCGGACATTTCTGAAAATCCTTATTATAATGATGTATCTATTAGATAAACTTCTTCTAACTATATATACATAGATTCATTACCTCTTCTTGTAATGCGACGCAGTACCATGACACTTGAACCTGCCAGAAATGTTTCCACAAAGTACTCATCCGAAAGAAAATGATCATTCTTTGTAAAATCTTTCATGAAAGGATAGCTAATCGAAGGATCTTTAAAATACTTCTGTTTCTCTTTATCGTGCAACTGAAAAAGAGAATAAAGCTTTCTTAACAGATGGAGTGAGTTTAGCATTCTTAACTAATTATTTGTTTATTTGTTATATAAACAACAACAAACGTTTGAATAAAAAGAGCTACACAACTTTTTGATCATCATACCAGCACATGTTCAAACTCATCCAAAAATTTTAAAACATTTTTTACATGAGCAAAATTTAGACCTATGACTAGCACCCAAGGCAGTTTACTTTGACCTAGAACAACAAGTAAACATGCGATCGTGAATGAGGCCAAATCGTTGTTGGCATTAGTTTAAAGCAGCAACAAATTCAAGGGATTGCGCATTTTATGACTAATGTTTTATTATTTGTCATATAAAACAAAATATATATAAATTCCTATAGGTCTACATGTACGGAAGTCAGCTTCCTTTAATGATACAAAAGGAGCCCACAATAGACTGAAGACATAAATTAGGTCCAAACTGTTTGTTTCTGGTACTAGCTAAACAGTAAGAAAGAATTAGAGAATTTTGATCATTTTTTGCTTATGAAAATGTCGACTCAAAATCCAGAAATTTTTCTTGAATTTCAAAGCCCTACCAACAATTGTGTAGAGGTGAAAGGTATGGCTAAAATTTATTAACAACATACAAACTGTGGTTTTTTCTTTACAAGTCTTACAATTTCTTTGGCTATATCAACTTATTAAAATATCTCCAAACACTTTCAATAAGAAGCAAAAACTTGCAATTCTTCCACTTTCTCGTAATTTCTCGTACCTTGTAATTCTTTTTTATTTTGTAAAAATTTTTTTTTAAGGTATGATTTTGTAGTTGTGTTTTAGATCCACGATAAAAGCCAGGGGGAAGTCGTGATATTTTGCTCTTCATGGTATCTCGTTAGTGTGTAATTCGTTTCTGTTTATAGAAAATACTTATTAGCTGTTTTAGTAATTAAGATATCTTTTGTCAGATTAAAAACTAGTAAATTCCCCTTTTTCAAAATTGTTTGAAACTATGATATATCTTTCTACTGTTGAGATTTGTTTGTCTAGACCAACTTGCAACATGCTTATCAACAGTGTCATCAAACATATGATCCAACAATTTCAAGCCTTTTAGGAACTTGTTTCCTAGAAGTTCCCTGGTACATAACTAGAAGCTCCAAAGATTAGGTGTTTAAGAAGCCCCTTAACATGTGTCCAGTAGCATGCCTGTGTTACACCCCTAGCCCCTTTATTACAAGTTAGAGTAAAGATATCAAAATTGACCTGGGGGAAGGGGGTACAAAAACTGAACATCATCTGTCCGTGATATTTGAAACATGACAAAACAATTTCTTCTACAGCAATTCTAAACATACCCCCATTTCTCTAATCCCTTTTTACCGATGAAACAGCCCTCCTAGTTGCTAAAAGCTGTGTACATTTTAATGGGTGAGAGAGGTTACGAACTTTAACTCTATTTGGCTATGGTACCAAACATAAACGGTACTTACCCCAAGGGATTTTTTAAAAAACCGAGCAACATTGTTATATTCGTGAAAGGTTGTGAAGTTCTGGGTTGCAAAATGCTTCAATGCTGCCTGAGATATGCCATCCAACATTTTGTAAAGTACAATGAACTGGATATTGAAGCAATGGGCGTCGAATTTGTCTGTTAGGAAGTGTTTGAAGGTTGCGTTTAGAGGTTGATCCAGAAGGGGCATGGGTGCATCTGCTGGGCCCGGGTTCGAAATCTCTCTTGTCAGCTTGTAAAAAACTTGCTCCATTTTTAGACTTTCATCGCGTATTTTCCTGCAATAGCTGCTTGATTCTTCACGTGTTGATATTTCACAAAGCTCACCTTGAAATATGAAGGCACATGGAAATGCAAAAATTTAGACAGCATTTTCGAGCTCTGTACTTACAATTTTTAATTTCATGTTTTTAATGTTATTGGTAGATTTTCCTGGCTGTTTCAGTAACAGCATTTGCATTTAATCAGCTTTTGAGAAAAGCTAGTTTGATATCTTACTTTTCGACACGCAAGTTCTACTTGCTGGCCATATAGAAAGTCTACTCATTGTAGTTTTAATCAAAATATTGCCAAAAAGGTCTGCTTTTCATTGCCAGTCGGTACAATGAAGTAAAGTTAGCTTGGTACATTCAACTTTCCTGCATTGAAATCAAATATCCCAAATCAATGAAAATGTTATGTAATGTTCCTTGTGGTACTCCATAACAAACATCATCAAACTAGTTTGTATTGCCACAGAACTTTCCTGTTTGTTCCTTTGTAGTCTATCGGTTGTTCAGCGACAGAACCCTACACCTTAATGTCACTTTATTTCGATCCTTTCTGTGCTGTTGAACGCAAAGTCTTTCAAGATTAAAAAATAATTCCTACCTAATCCCTAGGCGTGTAGATTGTTAAAAGAATGGATAGACAATCAAAAGCTTTCAACAGATTTAGAAGAATTTCATAAATCTATTCGTTTCTCCACTCTCCAATTTTATTCAAACTCATCCAATTCCTCAATGCGTCTTAAAAAGAGTGCTAGGAATAAAAGTTTTTCTTTCTTAAATTGGGAGTAAATTTGTAGCTTGAACGGTTCTTAAAGCGTAAAATTCCTTGATTTTCTTTGCTGTTGTTGCAATTTTGGACCTTAAATCTCTAACAGAAAATACTGTCTATGTTGCATTAAGATGTGGCATAAAATATTTGTAGAATTAACATACCAAAAGTAACGCTACATAAGTAGCAAAGGAAGATCAGAATTCCAACTGGAGATTTGTCCATAACGGATAGCGAATAACTGGATCGTTGACTTTGATTGAGCCTACTCAAGGCTACTCAAAAGCATGAAGTTGCAACAACGATAACTGGCATTCACAAATGCTACCAGCAAGTGAATTATAAGGTCAACCTGTTGCGTATAACCAGAACCAGTCAAACAGACTGATAAGGATGTTTCTTCTTAGTTAAGTCTTTAAACATTCAAATGAACAATTCAGGCAACGGTCTGTCAGATTTCTGTGTCAATATGGTTTAGATTTGACAAAAGAAGAATTTAGAGTTAAAAACCATAACACCCTATTTGGACATTTTTGGAAGATTCGATGAGCCAAGTTTGAGGAAAACCAAAAAACTGTGAGCTTGTTAAGGCCAGTTTCGTCAGCAAATTCGCCGAGCGTACTACCACTCAGTGGAATTGGCAAATTAACTTAGAAGTTGAACTTTTTTCAACTTTTATGTAGCGAAAATTAAAGTTGGACATGCTCTATTCCAGGGGACGGCAGCTTCTAGCTTCAGTTGTTACCAGAAGGTGTTGTGATGTCATTTTGACCCAGTCTAAGAGATGAAGATCAATACAGTAGTTGTTATTTTTTTTTAGTTTGAGAATGATTCGTAATATGGTTTTGAAACTGTTAAAGTCCTTTTTGGAATAGGTTTTACATAAGAGACGAGCAAATTTTTTATCTTTTTACCTTAAAAATATAACATGCTATGTTTCTGCTTTTTCGCGCCATCTTCAAATTTGGTTATATACAGTAATTGGATATTGAAAAAGCATCTGACTTTTAAAAAGATTTCCTTGCTGCATAAAACTATTTTTTGTAATATAGTATTTTCCATAAATGCAATAAGATCATTAAAACCTGTTTTTAAGATAAAAAACCCTTGATGTATCTACACATGGCCTGCAAGGCTACTACTAGTCTTTTTAAATATGGCAAGGAGAATGACAAACAGGCCAGTCCTCCCTACCTCCGTTGCCCTCTTCCTTTTCAATAGTCAGGTTTTTTAGAATGAATAAATATAAACTAGGCATGTCAAACAGGGCCCGCGCAACGAATTCTTAGGTGGAAGGTCCAGGTTCTCCAAGTCGAACTTTAATTTAGTTCTTCAAAACAGGTCCTCTTTAAAAAGAAATTCCGGGAGAAATCTATTGTGAGGATTAAGGTTTTCTATTCGATACAATTTTCAATAAGTGACGAAGCTGTTTGACACCGCTGACAATATCCATGAAACTGTTCATGAAACACATCATTGGTTGAATTGTAATTATCTGTTTTGTCAATGGAACAGTGCCGTATGTCATGGATCGACGTATGTCATAAAGTACCTTTCAGAATCCGTGATGCACTTAAAATGTTCACCTTCAGAAATTTATTACAGTGATCACAAGCCATTCTCTCTGATTGACTCTTCAAGTTTGCGACATCTCTGCATAATCATGAACTTCTGTAAATGAGTGCAAATGGTTGAGAGCCAGAATTAACAACCATGAAGCAGTGTTAATAATCGTGAATCATTGTGAGTGATCGAGAATCAGCATGAGTGATCGAGAATCATCATGAGTGATCGAGAATCATCATGAGTGATCGAGAATCATCATGAGTCATAATAAATCTGCGAAGGTCATCTTGGATCAGCTCAAATGATAATGAATCTCTGTCAATCATTGTAAATCGGCATACCGTAAAAGCTTTATTATAGTCTGGGCTGTTAGATGCCGAACAGACAAAAGCTGAAAAACGCCCCCAAGAGCTATTTTTAGACTGGGGTACTTGGCCCCAGTCCGCGAATTGGGGCAAATCTCCATATGTCATTACTTATCAATGAAGAAAGTGCAAGAGGAAAGATTTACGTGCATTATTATATATTGAAATATGTAAAGAGAAAATGAAATAAAAATTTTCCTTTGATGCTATTTTTAGAATATGATATTAGTACCCATGTACCCATCGTGGAGTTGTAATTTAAGTGCTGAAAATGTTGCAAATTCAGTTATTTGATTCTGGTCGGTCTTAGACAGAATAGCTCCAGTGAAATTGAAAACCGAACCTTTCAACACAAACATCACGCAGGTTTATGCGCCAACAAGTGAGTCTACTGAAGAGAAATTGGAAGAGTTTTCTGAGGAATTAGACAAATGTAGAAAAGAATGGAAACATCATGAACTAAACATAGTTATAGGTTACTTCAATGCTAAAGCTTGTAGAGACAGACATGCGGAAGTTTTAGGACATAAAGGCCCGAGAGAGAAGAATGAAAGAGGAGAAAAGTTAACAGAATGATGGGAGCAAAATGATCGAATCAATATGAATACATGGTTTACTAATCACCCAAGAAAACTTTGGACATAGAAAAGTCCAGATGATATTACTAGAAATCAAATCGATTATATCACAATCAATAGGAGATACAGAAATACTGTAAGAGTTATTCGCACACATCCAGAAGCAGACTGCAACAGTGACCAGACCTCGACGACTAAAACAACAAACAACAGAAAAGTTATTCACCAAAGCTGCATCTAAAAAGCCTAGAGAAGGATAGGGAAGTTAAGGAAAAAGTTTACAAGGAGGTAGAAACGAAAATAAGAAAATAGAAATAACAATTGAAAATCAATGCACTGAACGATTAATCAAATTATTTCAAACGAAATTAAAAGAAGCAGCTAAAATATCAATACCAATTTGTTGCAAAAAGAAGCACAAGCCATGGATGACACTGAAAATTCTAGAGCTAATGAATGAAAGAAGGAAAGTAAATAATAACATCATTGAATACAAAAAGCAAGAAAACTTTTACTCAACAACCAATGTCAGGAAATTTAAGAAATAGAAAAGAAAAACACCCAACGAATGCATACCAAAATAAAAGAAGCCACTAGAAAATGCAAAACGTGTTCTTCGGCCAATTGCATCGAAGCAAAAGACGGCACTATTACTTTTGAAAAAGAAAAGTTACTTGAAAGATGGAAAGAATATATTTGTGAACTATCAGAATATCTAATTACAAAGAGAGAAAGAGAAAACTTGCCTATCTTAAAAGAAGAAATAGTCAAAGCTATAGAAAGCATGCCAAAAGGTCAGGTCAGAAATAGTCAGGTCCGGATCGAGTTAATTCGAGCCCCTGATGACTTAGGTGCAGAATAGATGACTAAGATAGCCAACAAGATTTACGAAGAAGGCCATTTTCCAGCAGACATGTCCCGATCTGTCTACATTACTTTGCCAAAAAAAGCAGGTACAACAAAATGTGAGCTCCATCGCACAATAAGCTTAATGAGCCACATGATGAAGGTGATTCTGAAAATTCTAATACAGCGAATGAGATGCAGGGCAAAAGGTAAAACATCAGAAGAGCATTTCAGATTCATACCAGACAAGGGGACAAAAAAATGCAATATTCATGCTTCGAATGATAACGGAGAGATGTGTAGAGATGCAAAAATATGTCTATATATGTTTTATCGATTACGCAAAAGCGTTTGATAAAGTCCAACATGCAACATTATTTTAATTACTTCAAAAACTAGACGTTAACGGCAAAGATTTAAAACTAATAAAGAATCTATTAACGGCAATAACAGGAAGCGGTACTCATTGGACAAAATATGAGTAACTGGATTAAAATAGCAAGAGGTGTAAGGCAAGGGTGTGTTTTGTCACCAGAGCTCTTCTTACTATACACAGAGATGATAATGAGGAAAATCAGCCAAATGAATGGAGTAAAAGTAGGTGGGTTCAATGTAAATAATATCAGATACGCAGATGATACTCTCATTGTCGCATATTCAGAAGAACAGCTACAAAACAATATTGATGTAATAGCGGAAGGAAGTAGAAGATTTGGCCTAGAGATAAACAAGGGAAGACTTTCAGTGTGACCATTTCAAATAAAAATAGTAATTGATGGAATACTAGTAATTGATGGAATAAAAGTCAAACAAGTAGAAAAATTCGAGTATCTAGGGAGCTTAATTACATGTAACGTAGAGAACTGACAGTGTGCATTTGATGTCATGGTCGAAGGCACATCTGTAGAATCATGAGTTTTCTAATGGTGTCATT